TTTTTACATTTGTTGTTTGAACATCTTGTTTATGTTTATTGTGTACATATTTAGTTATTTATTGTTTGGACATGTTTAATTACGTAATTGGTGATGTTTTTTATCAGAATTTTATGTATAAATGCATATTGTGTTGTATTTTCTTTTATGCAGGTTTAATTGTGGAAATCACTTTTCAAAGAAAGGAACTTTTTTCTTTATGCTTCAGGTTTTCGGCATATATTCCGCTGGAATAACTGTCGGTAAGATGATACGTAGGTTCCGACGATACTATTCGACGGAAATGCTGACGGTTATTTCGACGGTAATATCTGACAGTATAGAACCATAGATTTATCTACGATGGAATATCCAGCGGTATTTTCGACAAACCATTTATGCCAGAGATGTCGGTGGATAATTCGTTGGAAGGTGAAAACAAAAAAAAAAAAACATCGGGATATGCAAAAATTCCACCGAAAATACCGCCGAAAAATATTTCCGGCGAAAATAATACGACGACAAAACATTCCGACGCGTGCTTTTCCGGCGGAGGAATTTACGTTAGAAATCCGTCATACACCAGTATTTTCCAGCACATTTCTGTTGTTTCCGGCGGATTACGGCCGCCGGTAAAGGCTGCTTTTCCTATTGTGTTATAGATTTCATAATTCTAATTTTTACACGTTAAAAATCACCAACATTATATTTAATAAATGCAACGTATACATAAAAATGCATTCTTTATTCTTCTGCCTCATTTTTTTAATGAATTTGCTCAAATAATTTTTAATACTCACTACTACCTCTAGAGATTCTTTATTTATATTTACTAAAGTTCTTTCATAATCATCTAAATTAGGCTCTTGTATCATCAAACAATGTGATTTCAAATTATAAAGTTTTAGTTTCTTTAATAAGCTCAAATTTTTAAATAATCTTTGGTGTTGGTGGTGATCCATTTGGTGACAATAATGACAACAAAAATCTATGTAACTTTATTTTAATGTTTAAGGATGTGATCTAAAGTTTGTCGTAGAATGATGAGCGGGTTGTAAAAGTTTGGTGATGGAAATTTAAAGATTAGTATAACCTAAGCTAGGTTGGGATGATTTGGAGGAGATATCTAGAAAATGGATTTTAAGTGGGTCAAATAGCAAGAAATGATGGTGGATGGTTAGCTTATGATGTGGACTAATGTTATGGAGCATATGATGAGATTTGGTAGTGCTTAAGTGGGAGCTAAGGAGTAGGGAACATGACTAGGTCCTCATTTTAAATGGTTTGGTGAAGAGTTTTAATGGGCTTTTGAAATGGTTTTGAGAGTTGGATTAGTGGTGGTTGATCTTAGAGGATGATTAGGATTTTTGTGGAAGGTGTGATAAATACTAAGCATAAGCATTTTAGAGAAGATGTGTAAAAACCAAAAAAAAAAAAATCGTTTAATATTACCAAAGAAAAGCCCAAGTCTTAAATACAACAATCATTAAACAAATGAGATTAATTATCCACCAAAACATATCATTCAAAAACTAAAAAGTCATGAAATATTATTTCTAATTTATAAGCAAAAAGACTACCCTTGAACTTGCTCATTTTGGAGAAAAACATTATTGGGAAAGAGGGTGTAGTTAGCCAGTTAATGAAAGAGGAGATTAACAATTGCGAACTACAATTGCGAACTCTAGATCATAGGTTGAATAATATCTCAAATGTAGTTTCAATGTCCTTTATCTATAAGGGTGTCAATATTGGACTTGACCAGAAAACCCAACCCAAAATTTTGGGTTTGGGTTAACTCGAACCCGAAGCGTCGGGTTCGAGTCCTAAAAACCGAGCCGTTTGTAAAACTAGTTCGGGTTGACCCGGGAAACCGGGAATGACCCGAAAACCCAGCTGCCCCGCGCCAGCTGCCTCGTTGCCCCGCTGCCCTGTGCTAGCTGCCCCACGCCAGCTGCCTTGCTGCCCCGCACCAGCTGCTGCCCCACGCCAGCGGCCTTGCTGCCCCGCACCAGCTGCCCCGCCTGCCCGCGGTCCGCTTGCCCGCCTGCCCCGCGGTCCGCTTGCCCGCCTGCCCTATATTATAATGCAATATCTACCTCATTTTTCTAGTGCGAGCTCAAGAGCTCCATTTGCCTCCTTTACACCTCTAATCCATATATTATAAAATGCATGGGCTAGTTTTCACTGTGGTTTAAACATCTTAAAATATAGATTTAGTCAATAATGCTACAAATAATTGAAAACTTAAGCTTCACTTATTTTACACATTTATTTTGTTTTTCTTTTGTTGTGGCTATCTATTTTAATGATCCGATTTTTTTAACATTATTTTAAGTTAATTGAATTTTACACCAAGTTTGATTATAACTCTACTTGTTTTTCTTAAATAATGCTTGAAGATTGTTAACCCAAATTTTAATTTTTATCAAATATGAATGATTTAGGATAAATAAAAATAAATAAATAAAATGATTTAGGAAAAAGAAAATTTATTAATTGTAATTGAAGTCTTATTGAGTTATAAGAATTATTGTTTGATATCAGCTTTTGTACTTTCAATTGATGTCGAATTTTTTTTCAAAATAAATATGTGTTTGCATTTTAATATTATTTTGGTGGTTTCCTCATCAATATGTCTAGCTAAAGCATGTCTACCATTAATATTTCACGAGACAACTCTACTATATATATATATATAGTGTGATCATACGTACTGAATCTAAAGCAACGTAGCTAGGCAACAAATTCATGCAACAACCCACTAACAACCTTAGCCCCTAGCTACCTTAATAGAGAAAGCCCGATTCAAAGTTGCTTTAACATGGGAACCTGGATTCCCAAGCACATAGGTCAAAATGAGCGAGAAAATTTCCCTACTCCTATACGTGTTCTTTTAGATTTCGGCTTTATTTGAGATAGCTTTCGTACTATTTTATTTTCTAGACTGCAACCTTAATTTTTATTTTGACCACTGCTTTTTCAGTGCTTTTAAAAATTATTGTACTGAAAAACTATTTTCTACAATAGTTTTATAAAATTACTTTTTTTACAGTAGTTTTATAAATAAGTAAGAAAGCTTTCACAAACAAAGCCTTAATGTATATTAAATATTAAACACTTCCTTGACATACTTGTTATTTTTTTACTGATGAAGCAACATGTAAGCTTTACTTGTAATTTCTTACATTTTCTTGTGCCATTCATCCATAGCATTTCTCTACTATCTTGAATACTTTACCATGCCTTATACACAATTGATTTATCTAACTACATTTAACATTACATTAATATTAGGATTTTTCATTATAGAAACATATTTGTAAAATTCAATAGTTATTGTGGAATATATTATATTAAGTGGTTAACCCAGTCGATCATTCTCTTCATAGAAATTCTTCCTCATACATTTCCTACAAGAAGATAAGTAAAGGTTTTTTCTTGAATAATCAAATCCCCAATTGAATAGCTTGATAATGGGTGATAAGATAATGATTTGATCATTCCAAATTATTTATGTTATATTGTGCTTGTATTGTTGTATTTTGTGTAAAATAATAATAAAAAACATGAAAATTGGACCGAGTGCCACAACACCAAAACACATTTCAATGCCGTAGTGGAGAGCTTACCAAAATTTTATTTGAAAGCAAATTAGCACTGAAGCACTACCCAGTTAGCGCCGGATATAAGCACTGTAGTGCCAAATCGCCGAGCATCGCAGTGAGAGTTAGTTGAATCAACTAACTAATGTGGCAAAATTTTGAACTGAAGCAATGATTGGTGAACCAATGCACAAATTCATCAACACCACAATGCCACCAAGCTAGCACCGTGGTGCTAGTACATTTATTTGAGAAAATTATAAGTAGCTATCTTATTTCTTATGAAAAGGGGTTAGCTCATTGAAGAGGTGTGTATCACATTATAGTGTCATATTATGTGAGTATGTGAGAGTGTTTGCTATCCTGTTGAGAGTTTAATCTTTTATTATTTTATATGAAGTCCTGTATTTGAGTTGAGGAAGTAGTGAAAAGGGCTTGTAATATCTTTTCAGGTCATTTCTAAACTTTATTTTGTTGTGTTTGTCTTGTTATCTTGTGTTTTTAAGTTGGAACTTGTTTTACATTTAGTGTAATAAATGGCATGTTTTGTTTGTTATGTGTAATATTGGCTCTATGTGTCGCTTAACCAATCATCTAAATCCATGATGATTTAAAAGTCATGTATTGCTTAGAGTGGGTTTTATTTTTTATTATATCAACGCAGTTTCTATTTTCTCTGTGCTTAAGTTGATTTATGTATAGATCTTACATAAATTCAAAATATAGTGTAATCTTGAGCCTCGATAGTTATTAGAGTTATGGGGTCTTAAGGAGATGATGTAATTGTTGTTGGGCAGGATCCTAACTAAGCCTTTAATGAGCTCGATTGAGACAAGGAGCACTATTGCTTTGATCCATAGCAGCATTAGGTGGAAAATCTCTCTAAAGCAATCATATTCTTTTAAAAAATCATAGGTTTAGAAATTTTCAATTTAGTAATATTAATTTTTGCAATTTTAAAGTCTTTACTTCTTAACTTGCATAACAAGTTAAACCATTTTTCTAGATGAATATAATAGTTTAGTATATGATATTATAGTGAGTGTAGGATAATTCTTTTATTTTCTCGTGGGATCGACACTCTTCTTCATCATTATATTACTTTGGTATGATGCATGCATTTTCATTAGAACATGAGTTACACCTTAGATAATTTGAACTTCCATTAGAAAAATTAAGAGTTTTTGTAAGCTTAAGCACTAAATTATACATTTGCATAAGTTAAATAATAGCCATAGTAGTGACATGTTTGTGTCATTTTAAAAGGGTTTTGGCACCATTGTCAAAGAGACATAACTATAAAAATTGTTATGATGCTCAAATATGGTTAACTTCATTGCCTCTGGGCTTAATTCAACTCAGAATGAACTCATACATGAATATTTAATCAAATATTTTCCACCTTTTAAAACTTACAAACTTAAAAATAACATCACATATTTTACCTAGTTATAAGGTGAATATATTTATGAATCATGGGAAAGATTTAAGGAATTGCTTAAGAAATGTCCTCGTCATACCTTTCCTGGTTGGTTAAAAATTAAAACTTCTTATCAGGACGAGACGGGTTAGGGCAAGAGCAATAAAAAAAAGATCATTATTTTGACCTAAATTTTGATATTTAAGGGGACAAGGGTTGAGATCGACGGTCTAGATCGGTTCTCTGATTAATTGGGAGGGAAAACAGCCTTTAGAGGCCGTGGTTTTGAATTCAAAACGAAGGGAGGAGTTATCATGCAATAAAAGCCTTTTAATTCCATCAAAATAGACTATTATGACCTACTTAAGACTCGATTTGACCAAGTCAAACTTTGACCTGGTCAAATCAGTCAAGAGAGTCAAAGGGGAGGTGAGATCAAGCCATGGAATCTATGAGATAGATTTAAAATTGATTTTAGGCTTAAAGGGTCCAAACTAGTCAACCCGGGTTGACTCAGTCAACTGGGTTGACTCGGGGTCCAAGTCAGGGCTCGACAGAGTCGACTCGACTCACTGAACCCACTGGAGGGGGTCTCGAGGTCTGACTTGGTCAATTTGACCAAGTCAACCTTTTGACCAAGGTTCTGGGCAAAATCGAGGTCAACAAGGACATAGTGTGTTTACTGCTTTTGTATGTTTCCCTTGCATTATTACTTTGAGGGTTAGTAAAAGCTTTACTTTAAACCCATACAACGTAGCGACACCCTAAGGACAACAATTAAGGACCCGTTTAGCGAACTTAGAAAATTTCTAGGAGCTAGGATAGATTACTGATTGACATGAAAACCTTAAAATTTAAACTTAGAGACATCTTGAACATCTCAGAATTTTCTAGGATTTTTTAGGGCTTGTTAGACCCCTTAATTAATCAACCCTAATTAACTTGTTAAATAAGGCCTCGAGACCATCTAAAAATTACAATAAATCCATTTTAGTTCAGAAAAAAATACCCACAACACCTTAAATTTTTCAAAATTTGACCCTTGACTTTAGATAAATAGGACTCCTTAGTTTGATTTTAGGTTGACCCTTAATTTTACCTTAGGTGGAAATTATTATTTTACACCTAATATATTATTAAAAATTATTAAAAATCCCAAATTTTTCTCAAACACTTAGAATCACTTTCTCAAGTCATCCCTGACCTTTGGGAGTGATTCCAATCCGTTTGGGGCTAATTTGGGTCAAAACCATAAAATCAGCACTTTATTGGATATTTTAGATAATTCCATAAATACCTTGAACTTAGAAAATTCATAATTAATTGAGAAACTTCTAAATTAGGCAAACTCACTTGAATTAGACTTCTATTAGGGTCCATTATTTATTAAAAATATTAGAATTCTAGAAACTCACTTGAATTAGACTTCTATTAGGGTTTAGTATTTATCAAAAATATTAGAATTCTAGAAAATCACTTAAATTAGAAAGTCAACTTTTTGGTCAACCCCAGCCTATAGTTTAAGGCTCGAAACTAAGAAAATTCATAACTTTTCTTAGAAAACTCCAATTTCAGTGTACTACATGGCTAACTACTTATATTATGGTCTAGTAGTTTTCTAAAATATTAAGAGACCCAAACCTAGCCTTTTTCCTATAGTGACTTTTTGGATCCCATCAACCTAGTACCTAGGAGGACCTGAGACTTTCTAAAATTGGCTAATATAATTTAATCTTCAAATATCACCACCCTAAGTTTTTAAAATTGATCAACAAACTAAATTAACTAAAATGGATCCTAATTCATTAATATTTAAACTTTAATTAAAATTTCCTTTTCTGACCTATAACAAACCTGAATTGTAGGCAATTTTAACTAACTACTCAAATTAGGATCCATCCAAGCCACACCAGTCATACACACAAATAAAATTATTTGCTAGGGAATCTCTTCTAGTCTTAGGCTAGGCCGGTGTTTATTTTCTTTTCTACTGTGTGCCTGTGCAAGCTAATAAAAGGAGGGCACTGTTATGATTTCTAATATTGTCTTATGTAGGTGCTTGCTCAGCCCCCCTAAATAAATAAGGGCTAAATAAAAATAATTATAACTGCTACAGGTGGACTGCTTAGCCCTCATAATTAAGAGCATGGCTTGGCATAACTTCAATTGGTTGAGTTTTATTTTCATATAAACTGCTTGAGATTTTTATTAGGATAACCATGCAGGTCTCTTAGAATTTTTCTGCTTTCCAATTTATATAAAAATTTGTAATAATAGTTAAGAGTTGTGAAAATGCACTATGAGTGAGATATTCTTATCCAACTCAAATTCCAAAAGAAGGCATTCTCATAGGGGAGAGTCTTCTTCCGTTTGGAAGATCGAGCTGGACGGCTTTAGATATCAAAAGAGAAAAGGCAATGCCCCCTACCAAGGGGGAATTGTCTCTTCATTTGGATATTCAAGCCATGACGGATCCAAGGAGTCCAAGGAGGAGAAATCCAAGGAGTCCAAGGAGGATAGTTCCAAGGAGTCCAAGGAGAATAAGACACCCAAAAGATTGAAGACTTGAAGACCAATATCCCACTCAAAGTCATTTATGTCTGTCATAGGCTTAGAAATCTGGGTTGTTGGCAATGGTGCCCGGCCACTTTACTTTCTGCATATCTGGGTCGTAATAAGGGCAGTTTGCCTATGGACATTTAGTTAATTATTTTTTTGGATTTATATTGATGTGTTTTCCTTATGTGCGCAGTAGAAATTGTCTGCTTTTTCTAGGTTTCTTTCTTGCATGTTGAGTTTGTTTTCGCCTGGGTACTCGTTAGGCTTTAAGGACTATAAAACTTTTCTACTCGTAATTAATAGTCAAAATTTTAAGATTTAAATAACATAGAAATATAAAAAATCTAGGGAACTGTCAGAATCGTCCGGGATCCCATGCATATTACTGTATATTTCTTTCCTTCTTATAAGACATCTCCCTGCCTGCAGGTAGAGTTCGCATAATCTGGCCTATGAGGATGAAGTGCCAGACCTAGGGAGACTCAGTCTTTTCAAAAAATTATTTTTTATAAGCCTGTTTTTAAAATCTATAACATTCATGATTTGAAACCTTCAAAACTAGCATGCATTGTATTAGTAATCAATTAATTAAAATTTAATTGCATTACCTAGGAGCATTCACCCCGCATAAGTCCAGGACCAATTAGAAAATTCTCTAGATGTCGGTCCTATTTCCAATATCTGTACCATCCACCCATCTTTCATAACTGACTTGATAGAATTGTTTTAAATCAACTAGGTGGTTAGTTGGCTCCCCAATTCAGGCCGGGGTAAGTCCAGATTTTGCACTGCATTAGCTAGGACACGGGTTTTAGTGTTGTGTAGAACATTAAACCCAACCTAGATCTAGGATTCAAGGCTACTACATTCGGTCTCGTAGTATGCCTTAAATAGTAGGTAGGTCCATTCCTTTCAGGGACTATAAATCCTACTTATCCGCATCACAGGATGACGTCACCTCCTTCTTTTCTCTCACGCATGTGATTAGATGCCTGACTTTCTTTCATCCAGTTTCTCTTTAGTACCATAGAGTCTCCGAATGCTAGTATGAACCATGCATGTTGATTCAGCCCTTCGAACATTTCTTCCCTTTGAGTAGGACTTCTTAGTCTACACCCTCGTGCCAATCCCATTTTAGGAAGGAATAACATATGATCCTTAATTGAGAGTTTTCTCGGGCTCCATCCTGGGATGTAATTAACCACGGGGGCTTGTACCCATGGGAAACTCGGTCTCACATCTACTAAACCCCACTCGAGCTATCGTATCGGGTGGGGGAAACCCGTGATTAGGTCGTGTATATTACTACCCATCGGGGTGTGTTGGCGACAGTCTCTATCCTCAATGGTTAGTTTTATGCACGATCCAATATGCCCTTCCATCGACCTGTTCGTGTCGAGTGTAGAGGCCTACGATCGTTTTTTCCTACGGGATAGTGCGGCCGTACCCTCTGCGTTCATACCCCACGAGCGATGCTCTTTCGGAGGTCCACATGTGTAATATTGGCTCCATGTGTCGCTTAACCAATCATCTAAATCCATGGTGATTTGAAAGTCATGTATTACTTAGAGTGGGTTTTATTTTTTATTATATCAACGCAATTTCTATTTTCTCTGTGCTTAAGTTGATTTATGTATAGATCTTATATAAATTCAAAATATAGTGTAATCTTGAGCCTCGATAGATGGATTAAAAGATCAATTAGAGAACATAGAATGTAGTCTGGTCATGCATAGACATATGGTTATTAGAGTTATGGGGTCTTAGGAAGATGTTATAATTATTGTTGGGCAGGATCCTAACTAAGCCTTCAACAAGCTCGATTGAGACAAGGAGCACTATTGCTTTGATCCATAGCATCATTAGGTGGAAAATCTCTCTAAAGCAATCATATTATTTTAAAAAATCATAGGTTTAGAAAATTTCAATTTAGTAATATTAATTTTTGAAATTTTAAAGTCTTTACTTCTTAACTTGCATAATAAGTTAAATCATTTTTCTAGATGAATATAACAGTTTAGTATATGATATTATAGTGAGTGTAGGATAATTCTTTTATTTTCTGGTGGGATCAACACTCTTCTTCATCATTATATTACTTTGGTATGATACATGCATTTTCATTAGAACATGAGTTACACCTTAGATAATTTGAACTTCCATTTGAAAAATTAAGAGTTTTTGTAAGCTTAAGCACTAACTTATACATTTGCATAAGTTAAATAATAGCCATAGTAGTGACATGTTTGTGTCATTTTAAAAGGGTTTTGGCACCATTGTCAAAGAGACATAACTATAAAAATTGTTATGATGCTCAAATATGGCTAACTTCATTGCCTCTGGGCTTAATTCAACTCAGAATGAACTCATACATGAATATTTAATCAAATATTTTCCCCTTTTAAAACTTACAAACTTAAAAATAACACTACATATTTTACCTAGTTATAAGGTGAATATATTTATGAATCATGGGAAAGATTTAAGGAATTGCTTAAGAAATGTCCCCGTCATACCTTTCCTGGTTGGTTAAAAATTAAAACT